CGCGCGCGCGCGTGTGTGTTTGTGTGTGTGTGTGTGTGTGTGTGTGTGTGTGTGTGTGTGTGTTCCTGGCGCTGCGAAACTGCTGTGCCTGAACAGGCAGACAGTCCAGATATGTGTTTTGGACGGCTCTGCAAATATCTTCCCTCTCTCTACTTTAGCAGTGTCACTTTTTCTGTTCTTGACTATTCGATAGCCTTTTCTTTGGCCTCTCTATGTTTTTGCAACAAAAGTTCAAGCTTTCTTTCTTTAGAGAAAACAAAAGTTCTACTTGCTATTCTTGTTTCCCTTTCCAATCATTTGATTTTCCTAAGTTATTTATTTATCCGAATAAATTCTTAATCAAGGAGACGAATCACTTCAGACCATCCCCTTAGGCACTACGATCACACGCCTGGTGCAACGTACTCACCTCCCCTAATCCACTCCATGCACGACCTGCATGCTTTCACCCTCTCTCTCTCCTCCCTCCCTCCCTTTTTCCATTCGTTCCTCTTTTCTCCGCTCTACCTGATCTTCTCCCGTAGCCGTTGATTAATAGATGTCCGAGGCCTCTCATTGATCGATTGCTTACCAACGCAATTGCTTGCTTGCTTGATTGCTTACGTGATTGATTGGTTGGCTAATGATTAACCACGTGATTGATTGATTGCTTGCCTATGTGATTGATTGATTGCTACTGTAATTGACTGAATAGACATGAGAGATTGATGGACTGATTGATTAAGAAGGCCGTTGATTTTATTGATTTCCTGTTTAACACTCCACGCACCAACCGACATGCCGATTGATCAACCCGGGGCTCAGGAAAGAGGCTGAGGAGGTGGCGGGATCATGGCCGAGCAACATCGTCGCACAGCGAATGCCACACTGTGCCCCGCGTGAGAAAAACTCACCTCCAATGCACCAGCACGAAGACGCTCCCTAAATCTCCCGCACACTCCCGAGGCAGAAACTGAAATCACAAGCTCCTGCGCAACACTAACGGTTATGGGTCCTACTACAAGAAGTTGGGCCGTGTTGTTGTATCTACAACGGTGTGGAGGGGCCCACATTTGGATGGGGCCCCACCAACAACTTCGCAGCTGTAGTTGCAGTCGGAATCCGGGGCTGATCCCACCACTACACTACGAATGTAGATGCGAAAATCACTATACAACCGTGTGCAGGGGCCCACATTTGGCCGGGGTCCCACCAACAACTTTGTAGCTGTAGTTGCAGTGGGAATCCAGGGCTGATCCCACCACTACACTACGAATGTAGACGCGAAAATCACTACGAAGATGTCAGCGGCCGTGGCCGAGCAAAAAAGAGAAACCGGATCCCACGAGCCCGTCTTCATCGTTGGTCTTCCTGGACCCTGGATCCACGATGGTTCTTTATGGAATGTTATAGAGGGTGGATGCCAGATGGGCTGTTATAGAGGGCAGACGTTTTCACTGACTCTGCCAACCTACATGTCACACAACACTATGGTCCTCAGGCATTCCTAATGCTGCAAACGGACAAGCCAAAAAAATAAAAATGAATTTAAAAATTGCTCCCTCTTTTTGGAGGCTGTGAAGCCCTCACAGTCTACACCAGAATTGTAGTAACTGGAAAAAAAAAAAAAAAAAAAAAAAAGAATTGTAGTAACTACGTTTGTGCCCTTCGCAGACGTGCTGCCACCACACAGCCAAACGAAACTGAAGCAAAATATTTCGGCAGCCTCCACAACCTGGGGAAGTGGTGGGATCTGGCTGTGGTGTAGTGGTGGGATCAGCCCCTTATCCCTTTTCCTAAGCCACACAAGGCTCAGGAAGGAGTCCACTACAATATAAAGCCAGAAATCTAAGATCAATTTCTGACAAGTTGCTTATAGAGTTTAGATGGTTGCACTTTGTGCCTAAAGAGAACCCGAGGGGCGAATGCCAGGGGGTCATGGATTCACACTCATCCCCGATATCTTCCAACCTGCCTGGGCATACTTGGCGGTCACCTCCTAAAGATAAGCCTGTTGGCCACTCCGGACCTGACTTTTTTCTTTCTTCTCTCGTCCTTTCTCCTTTTTAAAAAAAAACGGGCAATGGTCTTGTACTGACAGGCCCCAGGTAATTCAGAATGATTTCATTTTGGTCATCTGAGTGTATGTCGCTTCGAACTCATTGGGTCTATATTTCAACAGTTCATGGGTGTACCAACTGTGCTAGGCCCGTTCGTAAGCGGGCCTGTTTTGAGGAACCAAAGTTCCAGTTTTCCGAGCAAGAGCAGTACAGGCCATCGAAAAAATAAATGTGGTCCCAAAGTTGCGGTTTTCCAAGCCAGACCAGCATAGGCCCTCGACAAAATAAACGTGGTACGGGTGCCTGCCCATCTCTCTTTGAAGGTACAAAATGTTTTCACAGGGAAGTCACTGCTTCGAATGGCCCGATGTGTTTCGAGGAAAGAACTGCTGAGTCTGCTGACGTATCAGATATGCCATAGATGGTCTGTGTGGATCTTTGACACTGACGCCCCCACCACTCGATCTGTGGCATTGACATGGTGACAGAGTCAGCATCAGAATGAGCACACCCACGTGAGACTCAAAAAAATCTACCAATCCCAACCACCCAAGCTCTCTCTCTCTCTCTCTCTCTCTCTCTCTCTCTCTCTCACACACACACACACACACACACACACACACATACGCGCTAACACACACG